GTCAAATTATGCAATTAACTTAATCTGTTTGCAAACTAAGCTAACGTGCATTACTCAACAGTTGATGTTTTCTGTTCAAAAGTTGCTTTTTAGTCAGGGTTAGTTTTTTTTTAACTGCTTAGGATTAAAAATGGACTTGTAGAGGTGCTGAAAATCACTGAAAAGGCTTGAATTTTAACCCTGTGACATCTAACCCCTCATGGGAGACTGCTCATATATGCTTTGAAGAAATTTAAAGAAAAAAAAAAGACTTTGTCATTGTTAGCTCCATGTTCTCAGCTCGTTGTCATTCCTTTCAATCTGGAAAGTGCAAAAATGTTCCGGCTTCCATCCCTTGTCATATGTATGCTTTTGTCATTTTACAACAGAACTGCTGTTTTTTAATGTCCACAATTTAACTGTCAAAAAGCAACACTAACATCTCTGTATATTTCATTATCCGCTCAACTTGTACAACAACTAGTTGGAATTTCACAGTCCCAAACTCTATTGATAAATCCTCTATTAATTTACACATGTATGTTTTTCAGGTAGTAATGGTAGATGCTGCAACCCCTCTAACAAACGTCCACTATTTGGGTGCTCCAAGAGGTGAGATGTATGGAGCTGAACACAACTTGGAGCGCTTCAAACCAGAAGTGGTTGCTAAGACACGACCACAGACTCCCATCAGCGGTCTCTATTTAACAGGTGATTCTCATTCCCCCAGCCATATCTACACTTACTAAGATTCTCACTCACACAGTGACAATAATTCATCTTTGTCACAGCCTTTTAAGAAACAAAAGAAAAATACTCCAAGAAAAGGCCATGGGTGGTAACCGGTAGTTTGTTTCTGAATGGACTTTCTTGATTCTTTGAAAAACATATGTTGTTTATTTCTTATATAAATATGAACCAAAAATCAACCAAATAATTTCTTACAACTTAGATGTAAATGAAAGTTTATTATAATTACACTTTTAATATATATAAGTATTTAATATAATTCCACAAGTTCAAAAAGTGTTTTAAAAAAAGGCCGTTTAAAACCCTCCTGTCGTCTTACTGGACCTTTGATAAACAAAATAGATTTCCACCGCACCCCACCTTGTTCTCTTAAGCTCTTAATTAATGGGAGGGTGCAAAAGTTACCACAGTAATGAAAAATTTTCCAAAGTTAAAAATGTAATTACAGATTTAAAAAGCAAACTAGCTTAAGTATATTCTTACTATAACAATAATGGATAAAAAAGTATGATTCCCAAGAATTTAACAAAAATGGCCCCAACAATCTTACTCTACAAACTCAACTACAAACTAGTTCTTTAAGTATATGCAAACTCTGAGTGCAATAATTTCCTGATGTTTCTGTGTGTGTTCAGGTCAGGACGTATTTTGCAATGGCATGGCTGGAGCTCTTCACGGTGGACTGCTTTGTGCGTCAGCTGTCCTCAATCAGATGCTCTACATTGACCTTCTAGCCCTGAAGACCCGCCTCAAACGCAAACAGAGTAGTCACAAATGAACCTGGTAGCTGTGGTGGAGTCTGTGGTCTTCTTGAGTACATAAAATTTCACGTCTCTGAGATAAGATTTAATGCTTTTTATGATATATATCTTTGGATAGTTTCCAGTCATGCTGTAAGGTTAGCTGAATTAAATGTGTAAACAAATGTGTGAGTGATGAATACAAATCTGCACTTCCACCACCATAACTGCTTCTGCTGTAGCTGCTCTTAGATTCTTTAAAAGTGATAAAGACATTTTAAACCTGCTGCCAAATGTCACCTTCATTCACTTTTCATTGAGCTTTCATTTAAAGAAAACCTCACCAGTTGCACGTGAGATGTCTGCAATAAACCATTACAGTGATACCTTTAATAAACAATTAAGCTATTCGTTTACAAGTCTTTTTATTGACATCCTGCAGCTTCCCAGGAATCACCAGATTCTTCCGACCACTCCCTTTAGGGGTCACCAAAGTTGATCTATTCTAACATCCTCTTCTGAAACACTAATCTTCTGCATGTCCTCCTTTACTACAGCCATGAATCTTCTCTGTGGTCTTTACCTGAAAACTTTACATTCAGAATCTGTTGTTCAGACTATCTCAACCTCTCCTCTCCAACTTTATCTCCAAACCACAAAACTAGAGCTGCTCCTTCGATACTCGTTTTTTATCCATCCTGGTCACTCATCATATTATCCTCCTGTGACAAATCTAATCTACAGCACTATAAGTTTATGTACTTGAATTGGAAGGGGTAAAAAACACAATAAGGTTGATGGCAATAAGAACATTAATGCCACGGAGCCATTAATCAAGTTATTAGCACCACATGTTATTAGAACCACCTTTTAATGGTGCCGCATGCCCCCATGTGGCACCATTAAAATGATATTGAATTAATTATTAGCAATTCAGGTTTGTAATGTACCTCAATTATCAATGTCAGAGTGTAGAAAACCCTAAAACATCCTGGGATCTTGAGGGGATTGCTGTTGGAGCTATATAAAAGTGAATTGATTTAAACTGAAAGAGCTTGCAGTCATATTACATATATCTACTAATATTTGTAAAATACAACAAGCACATTAACCGATAATTTTCTATAATAAGGGCACAGCTGTTAATACATCTACATGACAATGCGTAAAGGGTACAAACAAACACACAGAGAGAGATGCATAAATTGCTGTTTTTACCAATTTATTTAACATTTTACAGATCTGTGTTCAGTGCAGGTTTTCCAAGAAGCCAGAGAAGCATCATTCAAAGCAAATATCAGTGATTAACCACATGAAGCTGAACAATCAAACTAGCTTAGACAACTAGCACAAAATCACTCTCTGAAAAAGTAGATTTACCACTGGAAAGTTATTTGCAGTTTTCCTTTACTTGCACCTTAATTGAAGCTGTGATGCCTTTTGACATTGTGGCCATGATGGTAACACTTTCACTTTTGTATGTGAGATTGGGACTAGGGATGGGTATCGTTTAGGTTTTATCCGATACCGGTGCCAAACCGGTACTTTTGAAACGGTGCCGGTGCTTAAACGGTGCTCAAACC